TCAGAATACACATCACAGAAGTCACAAAAAAGGCGGTGCACCCCCCCCAACGTCACTCTAGTGACTCTACGCGGCCACGCGCGGTCCACACGTCGGAACTCTCAGGATCGGCGCGCACGAAGTCCTGGTGAAGCCCCGTGCAGGCGACGTCCGGTCGACCGAAGGGTCGGGGACCGCGGGAGGAACTGGAGGAACGGAACGGCAGAAACGAACGAAGGTGGGCGAGGAGGAGGTAGACGTTCGAAAGAGCGGTGGGAAGTGTTTTGATGTCTTGGAAAGTGGCACCTGTCGTCACTAGACCATAGAATGGCACATCATCCATGCCTTCATCGATGTTTGCTGTCAGTGAGAGCCCTCCCCCAACGTTTGACCTCCTTTTCAGGGCCACGGTGCCCAACGGGTGGCCCAGCTGCGGTTCCCCCCCAGCCACCAGTAGCCACACAGGTGGCTACACACGAGCGCGCCAGGTGGCCTCGGCTCCTCGGACTTCGGACTGGGCACCGAATTGCTGGACGGCATCGACCCGGAGGCGTTGCTGGGTGCGAAGGGGGGCGATGAAGGGTAAGACTTGCTCGCGGAAGGGAAGCTGCAATGAAGAAGGAAGGTAAGCAGAATATGGTATTTGGCAAATGGATTGGATTTTGACCCCAGAAGATTTCTAGTAACAATGCCAATGCTGTTTTTCGATGCAGAATGCAGTGATGCAGGAGTTGGAACGCAAGCAGACTGTTGAGCGCAACAACGGCCACTTGGTGCTGATCAAACTGCGGATGGCGGAAAAAACGCAGTTCCTGGCTTCCGCGGGAACCGCGCGTTGCTATGTTTTACCACGTTTTACCTACTCCGCAAGGAGACTCAAGGATCCCTCATTTTGAGATATCACGAATGCATCTACATGCCTCATACCAGCACATGGTGAGCAGACAGGCTGAGCTCCACCTTGGCTCTGTGACCCAAGGCCGATTGGCGATGGTTGCGATCATGGGACTCATGGTGCAGGATCGGATGTGACGCTGTTTGCAATGAAACTCAAAACCATTCAAAACCCATACTGCTCGTATTTCGCTGTGGCGTTCATGACTTGGTCACACGAAAGACATGCGGCGAACACAGACCTTCCGTGAACCGACCCCTCGCAGCCCCAACCACCCAGGCCACACCCCACAAAAACGGTGTTTGGCTCAAGGCGACAACCCTGTTGAAGCTCCGGTTTGGCCCCATCATTGCCTCAGCTCCCGTCAGCTAGCAGAACCCATGGCGGAAGGTCGTGTCTACAACTTCTCCGCGGGGCCCTCGGCGATGCCTTTGGAGGTGCTGGAAGAGGTCCAGCGAGAAATGGTGAACTACAAGGGCTCGGGGATGAGCGTGATGGAAATGTCCCATCGGTCGAAGGAGTTCATGGCCATTGCGGCTGAGGCGGAGAAGAACTTGAGGGATATCTTCGCAGTTCCCAGCGATTACAAGGTGCTCATGATGCAGGGAGGCGCCACTCTGCAATTCTCAAGCATCCCATTGAACATGTTGGGAAGCAAGACCAAGGCCGATTACCTCGTCACGGGACAATGGGGTGAGAAGGCTCACAAGGAGTGCAACAAATATGGCACTGGCCAGTTGGCCTGCAATACCAAGAGCACCAAGTTCACCACCATTCCTCCCAAGTCGGAGTGGAAGTTGGACGCCGAGGCTGCATATGTGCACTACTGTGCCAATGAGACAGTGAACGGCGTTGAGTTCAGTTACACACCTGAGGTGGGTGAGGTGCCACTGGTGGCTGACATGTCATCCAACTTTTGCTCCAAGCCGATCGAGGTGAGCAAGCATGCTTTCATTTATGCGGGGATTCAGAAGAATTTGGGTCCCGCTGGCATGTCTGTGGGGTTTCTTCGCCCAGACTTTGCTGATGGAAGCAAGGAGTCGAAGATTTGCCCAACCTATTGCAGCTTCAAGACCACCGGGGACAATGGCTCCATGTACAACACGCCTGCATGCTTCACCTTGTACGTCATGGGCGAATACCTGAAGTACACCAAAAAGGTGGGTGGCCTTGCCTACTGGGCCGAGATGTCCGATAAGAAGAGCAACTTGCTCTATGGCACCATCGACGGCTCCAGCGGCTTTTACAATTGCCCGGTGGAGAAGAGTGCCAGGCTGGGCTGCCCCGTTCGACACTCGTACGTCAACAGGCTGGGGAACCTCTCAAGCTAGCTGTGGTTGAGGGCATCACCGCCTTGGGCAGACTCACAACAAGGGAATTCAATAAGAGAGGAATATTTTTGATAACGATCTGAAGATCCAAGTTAATCCAAGTGAGTATTCCAAGTGTCTCTTGGAGCCCAGGTCAAACCCGCCTAAGACCGTGGTCAGGTCTCGCATGAATGTGCCCTTCACCATCAATGGAGGTGACGAGGCAATGGAGAAGAAGTTTCTGGACGAGGCCAAGAAGCATAAGCTCTACACTTTGGCAGGCGGGCGGGAACACTCAATTGACTCAATTTGTAACTCCAACTTCAAGAGATTTCTGAATGCTCAATCCGACCTCCTGACCTCCTGACCTTGCATATCTCTTGGTCAAAATCTCTTGGTCAAAAATCATCATGGTCCATGTAAGTCCATGTATATACTGTAAGTCCATGGAGGGCGACGCCGGACTCGGCGCCGTTGTTTCAGGCCATCGCTCCGTGGGCGGTTGCCGAGCGTCCTTGTACAACGGACTGCCTCTGGAGGGTGTGGCCAAGCTCACCGACTTCATGAAGTCCTTCATGGATGAGAACCGAAAGTGAGTCTTCTGTGAGTCGTTTGTGGGTTTTCACTCTTCAGAAATCAGGGGGTGACTTTGTCAGATGCGAGGCAGTGGCGCGGCGTTCATGCACCAGTGGTTTCAGAAGTTTGGTAACCTGGAGGGTTTCTCAAACTTTATTTGGAGCTAATCCCACAGATGGATTGGGCTCTTCTTCAGTTTTGACATGTTTTGACGCTTCGCAGCGACCCTTCGAAAGAAAAACATCCCACAGTCCAGTGGTGTTTGTGGCTTGTCAGTGAAGTCCAGTGTTGGCACCTGCAGATCTCACTGAGTAGCTTCTCGTGCCTTTGATGGACTGTTACAATGAGCTCACAAAATCATGGATTTTCATTAATCAAATGAATCAAATCTTTCACTCAAGTGCAAAACTTCCTTGACACAACGGTGGGACAAACAAGGCAGGGACACACCGGTCCGCCATCCTTGGTTGCCGGGGAGCCATTCGTGCTGCAGGATGGCATGTTCGGAGAGCCTCCTTTGAGCTACATGTCCAAGAACGGCTGGTGGGGTGAGCCGGTCCAATGGTACGTCCAGCACATCAACAACTGCCAGTGCCTGGGCAGGTGAAGGCCACAATGAAAAGCACCTGCTGCTCCGAGCGCAAAACAAGAATATTTTCACTCAGTCACGGGGAGAACATGTTGCTGTTGGCGGTTCCTGTCTTTGCTTTGAACAGCGGCTGTTCATAGAAGAGCTGCGGCAGTCTTTTCATGGTTCCAAGTCATATCAGGGGGTTCTAAAGTGCATCCCTCCTCAACACCTTTTGGAGTGGGACTTCAGCCACCCGTGATCAATGTCGCCCCAGCCAGCCAGCCAGCCAGCCTTGGATCAGGTCCTTCACTGGCGCCGTGGTGGACAATGCCGCTGTCTGCGCTTTGCCACGCCGCACCGGCCGAACCACGCTCCGTGCTGGCACCAAGTTGAGCGAGGGGCCATTCATTGAGACTGAGACCTACCCAAAGGAGAGGGGTGCCGCTGAGAATTCCCACCGTTCAAGAGTTCAAGACATTCCTTACGATCTTGCAGTCTGCTAACGCATCGAGCGAAAGACACCCACCAACTTCTGACATGGGGTGTGAATTGCTTGGAGCTTGTTGTGAGCAGTGGCCTTGCAAGGACATTTGAAGAGATGTCGTCATTTCGCGTATTCTTGGCAGGGGGTTGCCCACCCCCTCAGTGTAGCTCAAAGTTTTGGGGTCCTGAAAGACGGTTTGTCGAAGATTTGCCTCTCAACATGTGGAGGCAGGGCCTTAGGCCCTGGTAGGCACTCTTCTTCTTCCATGGAAAGAGCTATAGAATCTTATAGAAGCTTGAAACAAACATCCTGAAAAAAAGTCTCAACCAGGTGCTTAGCAGCTTAGCATGTATCCCGAGAAAGCATCTTTTCAACACAGGAGATGGAGATGTCAGCTTCTGTGCCCTTCCTGCGCTACCCACAGGCTCCGGAGCCTGTGTGGTCATGGACCATGTCCCGAAAAGAAAAGACTGGAATTTGTAGCAAGCAAAGCACAGCTGCAAGCGGCCAACACTTGTGAGGTTCCATCAACCTCCGTTCGATATTCAGCTCTATGGGAACCTGTTGGATGAACACCTTGATATTGATATGTGATTGCAGCGGTGCAACAATGGGAAGGGTTGACCACATCAGCCAACCAGTTGTTGACAACAATAGAACACAAACGAACAATACCTTCTTTGGAACACCAACTGGTTCTATTTCAACACTTCAACACCTGTCAACGATTTGCCTGGCGCGCCTGGCGCCAGGTGTTGAAGGGCTGGGTCGGTGAGGAGAAGGGCTTCGACCCTTTGGGCGTCACCGACGCTCTCCCCGTCTATTGGGTGCGTGAAGCGGAGCTCAAGCACGGACGCGTCTGCATGCTGGCCACCGTAGGCGTGGTGTTGGACGACCGCTGTGAGATCGTCTTGGGATAGATTGGGGTGGGTTCATGGTGGTTCCAAAGTTGGGAAGGAGACTTAGGAGCGATTTTTGGATGTGCCATTGACTTGCAGGCTCCTGGCTTCATTGCATGTAGCAGCCAGCATCTTTTTCATCTCGGTCGGTTTTTTCGGAACGCTTCATCTCGGTCTGTGGCTTGGGGTGCCGATCGATGCCAATCCAGGACTCATTTGTCACCATGTGTCGATGCAAACTCTGGAACATAACAGACCGGTTGGCTTCCTAGTCCTAGTCATTAACAGGACGCCTCCAAAACAATGTGATGACAGAGTCTTAGATGACGTGTTGGGAGAGAGCTCTTAGATGGTCTGTGTCAGACGGTCATGTGGACCCTTAGACCCTTAGACTCCTACGACAGAGATTTACTTCCCACGTGAGGGATGGTCAAAATATGTCAGAATTGAGTCTTGAACCTTCGCAATGAAGTCATGCAACATCGCAGCTGGCAAACCAAACATGATTGAGCAAGGGAGCTGTTTATACTTCAATCTCATTCAACTTAGACGCTAGACCAAGTAGCAGAAACTTACATACTATAGTGCAGTAAGATGCTTTTGTGCAACCAGACTTCATCGAAGTGCTGGTGCTGGTCTGCAGCGGAACCGCGTTTGGCAGGCTGGATTGCCACCGACATGGGCTTCCGCTTCCCAGGCGACAAGTTCCAGGCCGTGTCCAATGCCTTTGAGGCCAGAATGACTGACTGGTGCAACTTGTAGGGAATAAGGGAAGCTTCTCTCCCAATAGAGATTCCTTTGGATCCAGCCACCCTCATTCGCTACAAGTCGCACAAATCAGACGAAGAACGATTGGGCAATTTTTCCATTTCACGGTCCAGTCGGGCCAGCAGAAACCAGTCCAGAATGGACACCGGAAAACGGAAAGCGTGAGGAAAGAGATACCAGAAACATGCAGCAAGGTATGGATTCGACTTCTTCCCAAGATTTCACATCCTCAACTGTTTAGGATGACATTGGTCGGCCCATGGACCTTTGCAGTGTTTCGAGCCCGTCTTCTGTGTTGAGCAAGGAAGGAAGTAGAATATGTAGAACGAACGGACCCGCTGTACAGACATGATCTTGCTTTCAGTTGAACATCACTTTTGGTGTGACTATAGATCAACTTATCAGCAGGTATACCAGGTGATATACTATTGTCATACAATGTCACCCTTTGGATATTCAGGCTCACGACAAAATGGTGGAAGCTGGATACATGCTTCCTTTCCTTGGAGCTATTGGCACCGTCGAGCTTTACGACTCTTGGCGGGAAGGGACGTGGATCGATTTGGGTATCGGGTGCCCCTCTAAACGCACCGACTTGGTGACAATTACCCTCGCCTAAACTAGCATGCACCAGAAGAAAGTCATGAATTTCTATGGATGTGTAGGGCGTATGGCTTGGATGGTCTGCTTCCACACTGCTGGACAGTTCGAGTAGGAGAGGCCTTTGTGCGACCCGTTTCCGTTTTTGACTGATACAGTGTTGGTTATGGGCCTCTCAGCCATTCGCACATCATTTTTGATTTGGGTGGATCAATTGCAAGCAAGACGTCACTTCCAAGCAGTTCATATCCTAGTCTCCCTTCTGTGCCCAGTCCGGATGGCTCCTCTACCAGGGCTGGTTGAAGGAGGCTCGCAGAATTGCGAGGAAAGCTACTCACAATGACAAGAAACGACCCAAATGAGCGGAAACAGTGTAGGCTTTGCATGTTTTGCATGTAAAAACTGGTTGGTCAATGTTGGTCATTTTTTCGAGTTGAACAGGACTTTGTGATTCATGACTCATGACGTTAAGCACACGCAGGTGAACCGTGATGCTGGGGACTTCTTTGTCGGCAAGAATTTCTTGCCCAAGGACGATCCGCGGTGGTGGACGGCGGGATTTATTGGCCAGGGGCCACACTTTTCATGCTTTCTCAACCAGAAAACTATTTTTTAAAACACATATTTCAATACCATTAAATACCGCCTTCTTTTTCCTCAAAGTGTGAAGATTTTACCAGCGGACTTGATGCTCAAGCCAGGAGCCTGCGAAGGAGAAGGACATGCGCTTGAAGGAGCTGGGAACAGCTGTTTACTCTTTGCAAACCGAATTAAGACTACCCAGACTACCCAGATGGATGTGAAGAATCAGGGCACAAGGGAGTTCGTGATCTTCCCAGACCCAGAGAGTTGCAAGGGACGGGAGTGCTCCAGCAACCCGACAGGTTTTGAGGTGCGGAGGTTTCAATCCAGAAGTGGAACTCTTCATACATCTTGAAAGTTGTTTGATGTTATTTGTTAAGAGTCATGAGGCACTTTGTTCCAGAAGGCGTGTATCGGATCTCACGTTGTTATATTGTAAGGGCTCCGCCCGGGTGCCGCCGACCCCTTTTCATCTCGAGGGTTTGGCGGTTGAACCTTGACAACTTCCTGGGATTCAACAGCGAGACTTGGATGGGCTTCACACCAATGCTGGCATTCAACCTGCCGAGAAGAGGGCAAGGCTGCGGTGAGGCTCTGGGGAGCGTTTGAAGCCGAGCCAAAATGCCTAACGTTGCCTTCGGAAGCCCATAAGAAGAGAGGAGG